ACATATATATATATATATATATATATATATATATATATATATATATATATATATATATATATATATATATATATATATATATATATATATATATATATATATATATATATATATATATACGTAACTTATGAAAAATTTATCAATTGTTGTATTTACAATGGTGTCATCTCGACAGTACAGCATTAAAAAAAATTAATTCTTTGGAATTTTAAATAGGTAAAACCATACAATTAGAATACCTATACTAGCCCACGAGTGCGATTTAGAGTCTGGTCTTATTCTTCAGTTTCTGTTTATAAAATTTGTATAGTTTATTAATAAATATTTATTTATTTTTTAAAGGTTTTATTCATTTTGGTTATTTTTTAATTGATTTATTTCATGCATTTTCACAATACATCAGCACGTATAGTATCTTTTTTCTGGTCTCATATAGCCCCGCTGATTTGAGATCATCGTGCTTGACTGGACTTCCCTGAGTAAAACATTCAAAGTATGAATTTATCCCGCCTAGTGAAGGCCGAATTTAAAGCAAAGCAGGCGAGGTTTCCGTCCTGCGGTCTCTGCATTTTAACATATCTTTCAACTGTTGGAACAAACAAAAAAATAAAAAATATTGTCGCGAATATTTTCATAAATTAATTATTGTCATATTGATGCAGAGAAAATTGAAATAAATAAAATAATTAGAGACCTTCACTAAATAATCCGGGGTTTCTATTTTTTTATATTTTTTATATATTTATAGCCTTTCACTACTCCAAAATTTTATTCTTTTTTTAATAGTTGAACGAAGCCTGGCTGTCACCTCCAAACATTTTTCTAAACCCCACTTTTAAAATATCTCTGGCGGTTTTTGAAATTTGATGTCGATCATCCAATTCCTCTCCAGGCTGTCCACGGATCTCCTCCTTAATCGTCGCAACTCCAATGTTTTTCAATTTTTTCGAACTCGATCAACTCAGACGAACCCGATATGCCTTCTTGTTCGCTGGCATAAAGTATTTTTTGTTGTTTTCAGTTTCAACAAGAGATGCATGAATCGTTTAGAAATCATCAATTTTATTTAGTTTACTCACACTGGGAGTAAAATTTTGAACGGATGGCAACTGATTCACACTGTTTCACACGCCAGTTACAATGCGTTACAATAATTGTTCACAATATTGCATTTAAAAAAATTTAACAATTCAATAAATAAAACAAATTTAAAGTTATTTGTCAAGCTTTTTTCAAAACAATAGAGTCAGTTGTGTTGGTGTTACCGCCTGATGAGACCGATCGCTTAACTGCATTCTCTTGACTGAATTTCATTGCTATTATTTAAATGCGTTTTGATTTTGCTTTACACTAATTTGTAACAACGAAAGCAGGAGTTGATAGGAAGCCGATTGGGAGGAAGTTTGCAGAGAGGAAGAAGTCGTAACGATCAAGTGGCCACCGACATGTTGCTCTGGCTCAGGAAATCTTCAGAGAATATCGTCAACACGATAATACAATTGATAAGAATCTGTTTAGACAAAGCAAAAACGTAAGCCAGAGCATTTTATACTTAAACGACAGATGGAATTTATATTATTAACAATCTCTTTGGCGATGCAGCTGTTACAAAAAATAATTTAATCTTATTTATCAGCTTTCATAATACAATAAAATGCTGTGATAGTTTTCAGATAGTTGTGATGTGATTATCATTATTATACGTACAATTGTTGGCAGGCACATACACATCATAATGCCAGGGTACACACATTTGCAGAAGGCCCAACCAATCAGGTGGAGCCACATGATGCTCAGGTTCATGCTGTTATTACTTTGTTACTCTGCTTCAAATTAGGATCACGTTTAGATCAACTTTATTTTAACACTTTGCAATTTCTTCGTTGGTTTGGAACGCTAATGTTTTGGATAATTCCGAATGTTTTGACCTCAAACAAAAGTTATGTGGCAATGTTTGAAAGAGACCTGGCCAGACTGAAATACTTCCAAGCAAGCATCAACGAGTGTCCACTCGGCAGGTTTCTCACTTGAAATTATTTGCAAAGTATTTATTTGAAAGTTGTTCTGATTGTATCGCAACATAATTTAATTTGAAGTGGAGCCCTGTCTGGCAACGCTTTCAACATGAACCGCGAGAGGATGGCGGGTTGGCTGAACTTCAGCAGGGTCAGCGTCAACAGCATTGAAACTGTCGGTAATCGAGATTTCGTCGGTTTGTTCGATGTTGCTTTTTCAAATTTATATTTTGAACTTTTTGCAATTGAAAAAAAAATATTATGATAAGGGAAATGTTTTCTTACTGCATAAATTCTACACCGATGATGGCATTTTATGCCGAAGAAAGCTTTTTAGTCTGTAAATATTTGTTTGATATCTTGCGCCTCAAATTGCATTTGTTGTTAATAACAACAACGACAAGTTGGTTGGCCATTTAATTCAGACGGCAGAAGTCACATGTCTTGCCTTGTTACTGCGCTCTTATCCAGTTTGAATTCTGTTAAAAACTCTGAGACTATCATTCACATGCTTTGCGCGTATGAAATTCATTCTACTTTGATGTTTAAAATTTGAAAAGTAACTTATATTTACAAACAAATTTGAATCAAAATCTTTGCAACAAAAAATGATGAAAATTAAAAAATATTAAAAATTAAAAGTTGACGCCAGGTTTTGAAAAGTGCGAAAAAACATTTCTTAACAATTAGCAAATCGTTCATCTGCACGTGCAGATCGTTTTATTTTTTTATTGATATCAACCATTTGTTTAACATTTTTTAGTCTTTATTATTATTGCAGCTCTGACATACGCAGAACCACTTGCAATGTTGCGTATATATTATCGATAATCTTTTATGTTCTTTATGTCTTCATCCATTGATATGAAGCAGCCATCTTCGCCACAAAGGTTGTTAACATCCTTTTCACACGACGTACACATGTATTTTATGTGCACGCGCAAGCACCGCACCATATACGCTGAGTATATGATAGCCATTGAGATGTTTGACTCAGCACGCATTTGAACCACTGAGCCATCTCGCCGAACATTAATATTATACTTTTGTTGTAATTTTTTCAGTTGGAACTTAAAAACATTGTCGAATAACTTAAGTTTTTTTTAATTAAAATTTGCGTATGTAATTTTTTTTTCTAAAATTATTTTAACTGTTCGCATAGGTATTTAAAAATATACTTGATCAACTCTTAATCAATTGAATCTCACGATATATTAACAACTATTAAGTACTCTGTTGTTTACATTTCCTGTACGACCCTTCAATTCAACAAATTGTACACCGTTACACATGTTTACAAAAGTTTTGAAACCATGAAGCAAATGCTAAAAGATTTGTGTATCCCAACAAATGTGACAACTTTTACAGAGCACTTGTAATGTATTTTCATATTAGCTTACGATTGTATAACTTATTGAAACAAATGTTTGCACATGATGATAATGATGATGATGATGATGATGATGATGATGCACCTCCAGCTGACTTTTTGTACTGGGCAAGCATGTTCTCCATCCATTGCAGTCGGTTGTCAGAAGATTTCATACTGTTCTCAACCAGAGAATTCAAATTCGTCAAATTATCTGAACAATTTAGGTAAAGAAAGCTTAATTTATTTTTAACTTTTTTCAACACCGCTGATAAATGTATTACAATTTTGATAACGATGGATGAAAGAAATTTACATTTGCAGCACGGGAAGCAGCTTGATGCCGCAGAAAAAAAATCCTGATAGCTTGGAGCTTGTGAGAGGAAAATGTGGACAAATCATGGGAAAGGTAAATTTTAATAAAGAATTGGAGTGCCATTAAAATTGTTTTCATATTATCAAATTTCTTATTTTATATAGGTTCAAATTAATTATAGATCGAATGATACAATAAAATAAAATAGAATTATGTAATACAATTTCCGCATCGATTTCAAATCAAAATTTGCACAAATTGTCAAACCAACAGACTTGTCAAGCAACGATTTATATTATACATTTCTGAACCATTCTATTTGACAAAAAATTAAAAAAAGAAGAAAACAAATAATTTAAAATTATGAGCTATCCATAAAGGATGTCACGCTTTTTTAACGTTTTTTTGACCCCCCTCTCCCTTATCACAAACTGTCACAAATCGACCATTCACCAAAAATAACCATGTCACAAACCCCCATCTTAGTGAAGAGTCTTCAAACAATGTAATTGTTCTATGCATTTTATTTTTATTGATATCAAAATAACGAATGACAAGTTTTTATGACGATAGTTCGATATCTAAATGCTTTACCGTAATTAAAATATAACGAATTGATATTAACTTCTACGCAGTTAATGTTAAATACATTAGATACAAATTACACAGTGGTAAACTTTAACGATGGCATTTAAATTTGACTCTTCCTTTAATTAATATTCATGAGCTATTTGCTCGCTTGAAAACTTTAATATTTATTTATGCGCATATGTATGAAAAACAATTTATTTATTGTTTTGTTTATTTAAAAAAGGGGCGTCAAACTTGCGTTTACCCCCCTTCCTCTCGTCACAAAGTGTCACAAATATTTGGACGCCCTCTTCCCCCTTAAAGCGTGACATCCTTTATGGGCAGTCCCTTATACTTAGTAATGTTGAATGATTCGTTTAATTATAACCTTCTACCGAACAAGTGTTTTGGTTTCTTGACGACCATGAAAGGGCTTCCAAGCTCGTACAGCAAAGATCTGCAGGAAGACAAGCAGGCCATGTTCGACGTTCACGACTGCGTACTGAACATCATCGAGATCATCAAGGGAGTCATCGAAAGCCTGCAGGTCGATACTTTTAGACTTCAAAATTAGTACCAATTGCTATTTTTTATAATTTATACTTATCAGTGGATGTCTGATTGCAAATTATTTTGCACAAACTAAATTTCGAAGTTCTTAGTCTTGTGTTTTGTACTACGGTGAAGTAGTAAACAATTTTATTATGTTCATCAAATTTAAGAACAGGAGTGGTATATTAAAAAAAGAATGGCTACGGAAAGTAATTGTTTAATATTTCAAAGGCATATATCAAAATAACTTGTGAAAAAAAAATACAAGACTAAAAAGAATATGCTTCTCGTTCAGTCTTTAAATGTTTTAAGACACTCCAGGCTAAAAAGTATTTCAAATTAAAATGCGTGGCAAACACCTGTGAGTAGATTTCTACCATATTCGACAGGGACCATCCTCTTTATAAAACTTAACAGTTGCGACTTGAGAAATAGCGGTATATATGAAACAGTATTATAAAACAAAAACGAAAAAAATCTGTTTAAAATTTGAATTCACCCTATTTGATAAACTAGTTTTAAGTACTTATTTCAAGGTCTGTTTAGTATATTTGTGACTTTTATTTATTTTAATTTTAAGAAATATAAATGTGATTGAAAATCGTTGCACATTTCAGATAAATGAGGAATCCTGCGTCAACGCTTTATCGCCCGAGTTACTTGCCACCGATCTTGCATACTATTTAACTAAAAAAGGGGTTAATGATCTACTTTTGTCGGTTCATGAAAATAATTGTCATTTTATACACTGTGTATTTTAAAACAACTATTTTAACTTACTGTACTATTATTATTATTATTATCATCATAATTATTTATTATTATTAATGTTATTGTTGTTGTTATTATTTTTTTTACATTTATTTCCATTATCATCATTATCAGGAAATTTATATAGCGCTTTCTCACACTGCTGAAGAACTGTTTGAATAGCACGGGTTATTTAGAGATGAGAGGAGCTTTTAGTGCTTTGCGAAACTTCTCAAATGTCAATCCTCCCATTGATAAGCTGTGTGGTAAGCTGGTCCACATTTCGGACAATGACAGCAAAATTTTGTTACAGGCACCAACAGATAATATTGATCGTCTGAACTTAACTGATAGCGTGCAAGCGGTTTCGTTCTACATTTTTCAGACACACCACTTGGGCTAAATTTATTTAATTATTAGAAAATTCTAGTGACAATTTTTAAATTGATTATTAAAAAATTTCTCTCTCCTAACTCGTACTGAAGGCCTCTTCGTCCCTATTTTGTGGGTGTTCCTAGGTGGGAATGTTGAATTTAATGAAATTGAGGCTAGGATTGAAAAGGATTTTTAAAATCTACATTAAAGATGCACGTCATCGGCTTCAATGGTTCCTCAAGAGATTAGAGATGGATGATTTACTAATTGCTTGAAATAAAAAAAAAGTTAATTTTGTTAATGGTTATATATGGGTCATTTTTATTGCGTGACCACTATTATGCCAGGTAGCATTCCGGGATGCACACTTCATTGTGGGACAGCTGGTTTTGAAAGCAGAGCAACTTCACTGTGAAATATCACAATTATCTTTGGATCAACTTCAGACTATTAGGTTCATTTTATTGATATTCTTGCTTGAATTAAGTTGTAAACGTTGAAAATATCGACAAAGTTCAATTTTGCAACTAAATCAAATTTATTTTGTTTCAACCAATTTTCTTTTTTAAATGTTTTGAATTCTTTATATTATTTTCCTCATACACAGTTCACTATTTTGAGTTTAATCTACATTTCAAATACATCGTATATATAGAGTTTTTGTTTTTCCACCCTGCAAAGCTGTTTTTTACCAAATGTTTTTAAATTAAGTTTTTAGCAATCAAAATTATTTTTAAAGCAACGACAGTAAAGTATAAGATACTGATAAAAAAGAAAGTGGAAAATGTAAGACGAAGCAGTAGAGGTTTCGGCGCTCCTTTTGATTTGTATAATAGCTGGAATGGTAATTTTTAAAAAAAGCATTAACAACTCATTAAATGAATGTTTAAAAATGAAAATGCTATGTATAGTTTAAAATAATATATAAAAATTTTAGCAAGTTTTATTGTAAGTTCATCCATTAAAATGTTGTTAAATTATTTCTTGAAACAGTTCACATTTTTCGGAAGATGTAAAAAACATTTGGAACTACGAAAGAAGTGTTGAACAGTACAAATCCACCGGAGGAACCAGCATCTCCGCCATACAAGCCCAAATTAACTATTTCGAAGAAATGATCAATCTTTGAATCAACTCGATTCACCTCGTTTCATACAATAAAATAACATGGTGATGCAATTTTATTCTTGTTTAATTTGTTCATTTTATCAACTTGTTTGGTTTTTTATTAAATTGATATTTGCAGGCAGGTAATAGTTTGTTGATTGGTGGTAACATTTATTTTCAAGAAATGAAATAAAAAAGAGTTTCATAAAACACTGAAACGTTTTTATGAAATGCCAATAAAAAAAGACAACTAGTAAACAAATTGATTAAAAGACAAATAAAACAGATCAATATCAGATATCCCGTTTTTTGATACCCTTTCCCTGCCACAAGTTTTCCAACCCCCACGTTATGCGTGTCACAATTTTTTGGACCCCCTCTTAATGGCTTAACTGCTAACAATTTAAAAAGCTTTACGCACATTACGACTTTCATAAAAATTGATTAAAAGAAGTTTAAAGACATTATACACTCTTCTGAAATTCAGAAAAAAATCATCAACACAGCGAATACGTGCTAAACGACGCATCACGCACGAAGCATGTGATTGGCGGGAATCATTATGTCAAATTCAAACCCGGTCCCTGCGAAACTGGACGCGGACCTTTTAACCGCTAGGCCATCATGCCATTCGAATGAAAATTAAAATAAAAAAAAAACATCTGTTAGCGTTAAATCAACTGACAAATAGTCTTCAATATAAATACACAACTTACTAGCGACAGTGTTGTATAATAAATTTTCAATTTCGTTTATTCAAAAGGTATTAATTAAAATGTAAGCAATTTCATTTTTCATTACAACTAAATCTTATCTTAAAGATGTCTAAGATTTGGTGCATAAAAATAGCAACAGAAGTTTATCTTTAAAAAGAGTTCAACAAGAGTTCACAAAAAGAGTTCATTCATTTTGACGTTGCTCAGTTGTTCTTCAGCTTGTACAAAATATATAACAGGTTAGTGGACACGTTGAGAAAATAAGATGAAAAGCAAAAGAAAGGGATCAAATGTCATCAAGCAAAATAAATGGAAATCCTTATTTAATTATTGCCAGGTCAAGCAAATTAAGAGAATTGTTTAATATTGTTATAACCGTGCTACCGAACGCAATAGAACATTCTAGAATATGCTAGAATCGGACCATCTAGTTCTAGAAGAATCTAGAAACGACGCTTGCGAAGAGTATATAAGCGCACGTCGCAAGAAGATTAGCGATTAGTGAAATTCGTGATTTTGTAAATTCGTGACTGTGATTTTGTGAATAGCGATTCGGTGAATTATTTAAAGCGATATTTGATTTGTTTTGTTGACGTTGTCATAGCGATAGATTTTGAACAATTTAAAAGTTAATTGTTGTGTTAATTTGAATTTGCTAGAAATAAACGATTAGTTGATTTCTTCTGTAAATAAAGTTTAATAACTAATAACTGTTTTGAGTATTTTATTCAATCGAAGATTTGAACCCGTCGCATCGTAAATCGGTCACGACAGCGAGTATTATAACATTGGTGTCAGAAGTAGGATCTTCGACTAGCGAATTACTACTCATAGAAAAAGAACACGATGTCAAAACTGTGTGGTTTGAACGTAGTTCAGCTACGAGAAGAACTACAGAAACGAAGCCTTGTCACAAGTGGCAACAAAAAAGTACTAGTAGCACGTCTGAGAGAAGCTCTCATTGACGAAGGTAAGAACCCAGACGAATTCAAGTTTGATGGTGCTGACGAAGACAATGAAATTAGCACAGGCACGTTTACAACCGCTAAAATGATGGAACTTCTGGTTGGTATGTCAACTGAAATAAAACAACAGATCAAGGAACAGTCCGAACAGATCAAAGAACAGTCCGAACGACAGTCAGAACGACAGACAGAAGAGTTAAAACAACAAATCAAGGAACAGTCCGAACGACAGACAGAGGAGTTAAAACAGATCAAGGACCAGCTAAAACACGTAAAATTGGAAGTGGCAGAACAGATTGAAGAACAGTCAACAAGAATAGAAATGATCGAGCAGAAACTTGATCGTCAGACCGTTGAGGTAGATCACAAGATAGACAAATTGAAGCGAGAATTGGAGCAATCCAAAAAAATGGCCATGCCGTTAGATCACGCATTCGGAAGAACTTTGAAGGTAAGAGCATTTGACGGAGAAATGTCCTGGAACGTTTATAAAACCCAGTTCGAAGCAGCGGCAACTAGTAACTGTTGGAACGGAAAAGAACGTGCATCAGCACTGATACTGGCCCTGCGAGGTTCAGCAGCAGAGGTTCTTCAGACGATTTCGGCGAAGAACCACTTCAACTATGAAGTTCTGGTTAGCGCGTTGAATTTACGTTATGGTGAAGAACACATGAAACAGATTTATCGGTCTCAGCTTAGAAACAGAACGCAACGATCTGGTGAATCCATTCAGCAGCTGGCACAAGATATCGAACGGTCGACATTGCTGTCGTATCCGACATCAGACCCCGAGCATAGAGACGAAACTGCCCTGGATACGTTTATCAAAGCCCTTCGTGATTCGGAACTCAAGCAATCCCTTCTCTTGTCAGATAAACGAAAACTCAAGGATGCCGTTGCGCACAGTCTCACTTTTGAATCGGTAAAACAAGCATCAAAAAGTGACGTACGTTTACGCCAAGTACATGAAGAATGCTCTTGCCAGAAGGTGGTTGTGAAACGCGAACCCCAACAGCATGGTGTACCCCAATGCTGGATTTGTGGTAAAAAAGGCCATCTACGTCGTGATTGTAAACACCGCCTAAAAGATAACCACTGCCGAAATTGCGCAACAAGATGATGCAAAAGAAGAGAACATAATCCTGTATCACGATCGGCCCCTTCTAACGAAGGGGCGGAAAACTAATAAGAGCCAACTTTGTGGGGCAGAGGTTGGCTAGTAGAATTGACGCCCCAAAAATGGTCTTATTCCTGTCAGAATAATGAATACCGCTAAACACACTATTAAAATTAAAAAAGGCGAGGAAATAGGTAATTGCCAATCAATAAATTTGGTGAAATCATTAGATATGGAGCAACAGGAAAAGGTTCTACCAACTGACAAAGGTAGACTCAAAGAACTTACCAAAAATCTACTGGATGAACTTAATTTGTATCAAGAAGACCGTCTAAAAGCCGAGGCGTTGATTGCTGATTTTGCAGACGTGTTTTCAACCGGTGACAATGACCAAGGTAAAACAGCTCTGGTAACTCACCGAATTGATACTCAGGATTCGAAACCGATCCGACAAGTACCACGACGTCTTCCTATAGCAAAACAAACAGAAGTAAACAAAATGATAACGACAATGCAAAATCAAGGCGTCATCGAACCGTCATCAAGTCCCTGGATTTCGCCAGTTGTTTTGACAAAGAAGAAGGACGGCACTACCCGTTTTTGCGTTGATTATAGGAAGTTAAATGATGTGACTAAAAAGGACAGCTATCCGTTACCGAGGATTGATGACATCATGGACACCCTATCTGGCTCAAGTTGGTTCTCTACGCTTGATTTGAAAAGCGGATACTGGCAAGTAGAAATCGACAAGAACGATCGCGAAAAGACAGCGTTTTCTATCGGATCGGGGCTGTGGCAATTCACCGTCATGCCATTTGGATTGTGCAATGCTCCAGCTACATTCGAGCGACTGATGGAATGTGTATTGCAAGGTCTTAACTGGAAAACCTGTCTTGTCTATTTAGACGACATAATTGTTCTAGGAAGAACATTTGATCAACACGTCGAAAACTTACGGGAAATCTTCACAAGACTTCGGGTGGCAAATTTAAAGCTGAACGTTGAAAAGTGCAGGTTATTTTCTAAAGAAGTTAACTATTTGGGACATGTGGTATCTTCAGATGGAGTTCGAACCGATCCCAGCAAGATAGAAATTGTGAAAGACTGGCCAACTCCAAAGGATAAAAATGAATTGCGCAGTTTTCTGGGATTGGCAACGTACTATCGACGTTTTGTAAAGGATTTTGCAAAAGTTGCCAGACCTCTCCACCAACTTACCGAGAAGGACCGAGTTTTCAACTGGAATACCCTATGCGACTCAGCATTTGAAAAGTTAAAAGTTGAATTATGTGATGCTCCTTTGCTAGCATATCCAGTTCGTGGCAAGACGTTTGTGTTAGATACTGATGCAAGTAACAACGGAATCGGAGCCGTTTTGTCACAGCATATAGACGGAGAAGAAAAGGTGCTAGCGTATTATAGCAGAGGATTCACAAAGCCCGAACGAAACTATTGTGTGACCAGGAAGGACTTACTAGCAATAGTCAATGCAACAAAACACTTCCACAAGTACCTTTATGGACAGAAATTTCTTCTCCGAACTGATCATGCAGCGTTAAGATGGCTCCTCAACTTCAAGGATCTTGAAGGACAGATGGCCCGATGGTTGGAGCGTTTACAAATGTACGACTTCGAGATCGTGCACCGCAAAGGAACAACTTATAGTAATGCTGATGCTCTCTCACGTCGACCATGTTTACCAGGATGCAAATATTGCTGTTGTCACGAGGAGAAGATACAATCGGAAGACATAAGAGCAACAACAATATCAGCGGATGACGGTTGGACACCGACGGATCTTGCTGATGCACAGTTTGCGGATGAGGACCTACAACATCTGATCACATGGAAGAAGGAGGGCAAGCGACCGGACTGGCAAAGCATCTCAGAATATAGTGCCGTGTTAAAGGGTTACTGGAGAGACCAGGGGCGTCATTTCAGATTTTGGTTGGGGGGGGCAAACTTATGTGGTCTATGACTTAGCATGTAACATATATATATATATGTATATATATATATATATATATATATATATATATATATATATATATATATATATATATATATATTATTAATAAAGATCACGGCGTTTCTTACAGTACTCAATCTATATGATAGTTTCTCGATTCTTCGAATAATTCTCCGATCTACCAAGCTTAACTTGTTAATGCTATCAACAAAATTTCTATTTACAGAAGATGTCATTATCTACATGTATGCATATAGTACTATTTCGACTACCTAGTCTCGTCAGTGCAACATTATAATAAATTTTACATTTTTAAAGTTTTTAAAATTTCAAAATTTTTAAAGTTTTAAAATTACTAAATTATATATCCTATATATATCCTTTTTACAAAGAATTTAAAATTAACACTTTTATAATTTATAATTTTAATATTTTATAATTTT